ATATTTCTGTCGTACAAACATTGCCTTATTTATTTTCTACATACTTTCTAAAGATACTGAATTTTAGACCTTGTATATCCTGGACTGATAGACTCTATGAACTCAGTGATGCAGATATGTTCTAGTCAGGTTTTATATTTCTGTCGTACAAACATTGCCTTATTTATTTTCTACATACTTTCTAAAGATACTGAATTTTAGACCTTGTATATCCTGGACTGATAGACTCTATGAACTTAGTGATGCAGATATGTTCTAGTCAGGTTTTATATTTCTGTCGTACAAACATTGCCTTATTTATTTTCTACATACTTTCTAAAGATACTGAATTTTAGACCTTGTATATCCTGGACTGATAGACTCTATGAACTCAGTGATGCAGATATGTTCTAGTCAGGTTTTATATTTCTGGGTTTTATATTTCCTAACGCCATTTTCTTGATGTAATATAATATATTAATGTCCATATTTCACTGTTTCTTCTTCTTCTTTGTATATTCTGACATAAGTAAAGGGATTCTAAAACTTAGTTATAATGTAATCAACTTGTTTGTTTACTTACGGAAAGTCCTTCTTTGTCACCATAACAACCGTGTGTAAATCTGGACATCTGATAGTTACATTAAAAAATCAAATGGTTTATAATAATGATATCAACAAGTGTACAGAAACAAGATAACATCATCAAAACTATAAGTGTGAATTCAATGTGTGAAAAAGTGCGGAACGTCTCAATACTCGTCCCACTAATCCTCAAACAATATTTTTCTTTATTTCATGACCTATTTGTTGTTGCAGAGATAACTTGGCATGCGTTGAGAACAGGGATATAACGAGGGTGCAGGTGGACCATACCCCATATAGTCCGTTTGTAAGCATAAATCCAATTTTTTGTAGATTTTGTCTGCAAAATTTTGTGGAGAAAAATGTCAGATAAAAGATGATAATATTCTTACATAGATCGTGTGATGCATATTAGTTTGTCAACAGTTCTAATAATTCTATCAATCTTCACCTACATCTTTTGAGTTTAATAATGTTCGGAAATGCTGATTATGTTCTTATTCAGAGCTTTTATTCTATTATGTCGGCAAAATTTAGTCTTGCACGCCCTCTAGTTAAGAACTTCCTCACCAACGACCAAAGTTTAAGTGTATTCATATTTAAAACATATTTTTTTTACTATAATATGTTGTATTTACGTTAATGATTCGCTTGACACGATTAATCATCCATTACTAATTATTACTTTTCTTATTAATCCAGTGGAGTTTACAAATTTGACGATATTCTACAAGCTGCAGGGAACGAGAAATTGCGAGAAGTGAAGGAGCTGGACTCCAAGATACAGTTCGACGATCCGGCTAATATTCAATTTAAATCGGTAGGAGAAAATTATGACCATAAATACGTAGTGAGATCTATATAAAATGTATGTCGTATTCAACAAAATTTAAAACATTTTGTTTTGTTTGATAATATTTAATAATATAAAATAGATATGTATATTAAACTTATCATATTGAACGATTATAAAAAATTACAATTCTGACTATCGTCTGTGCCTCTAAACTGACTAAAGTGTGTTCTTTTCAGGGAACCACGGGTAAACCCAAGGCAGCAACACTTTCTCATTTTCATTTCATCAACAATATGGTATCCCTTAGCAACCGAATGATAGTACCAGGAGTGGTAAGTATTGTTGTAAACTACAACTTCATAACCATGCTGTCATACCAGGAGTGGTAAGTATTGTTGTAAACTACAACTTCATAACCATGCTGTCATACCAGGAGTGGTAAGTATTGTTGTAAACTACACCTTCACTACCGTGCTGTCATACTACGAGTGCTAAGTATTGTTGTAAACTACACATTCACAATTACTCTGTCATACCTAGTGTGGTAAGTATTGTTGTAAACTACACCTTCACTACCGTGCTGTCATACTAGGAGTAGTGAGTATTGTTGTAAACTACACCTTCACTACCGTTCTGTCATACTAGGAGTGGTGAGTATTGTTGTAAACTACACCTTCATAACCGTGCTGTCATACTAGGAGTGGTAAGTATTGTTGTAAATTGCACCTTCATAACCGTGCTACCATACCAGGAGTCATAAGTATTGTTGTAAACTACACCTTCACTACCGTGCTGTCATACTAGGAGTGGTGAGTATTGTTGTAAACTACACCTTCACTACCGTGCTGTCATACCAGGAGTGGTAAGTATTGTTGTAAACTACACATTCACAATTACTCTGTCATACCTAGTGTGGTAAGTATTGTTGTAAACTACACCTTCACAACCGTGCTGTCATAGCAGGAGTGGTAAGTATTGTTGTAAACTACACATTCACAATTACTCTGTCATACCTAGTGTGGTAAGTATTGTTGTAAACTACACCTTCACTACCGTGCTGTCATACTAGGAGTGGTGAGTATTGTTGTAAACTACACCTTCACTACCGTGCTGTCATACTAGGAGTGGTGAGTATTGGTGTAAACTACACCTTCACAACCGTGCTGTCATACCAGGAGTGGTAAGTATTGTTGTAAACAACACCTTGATAACCGTGCTGTCATACCAGCAGTGCTAAGTATTGTTGTAAACTACACCTTCACAACAGTGTTGTCATACCGGAAGGGTAGGTATCACTGTAACGCAGTGTTGTTCAATAGTTTGGTCAAATCAATATACTGTTATTAACTTACACATTTATCTAATGATAACAATGGTATGTAAGTCAAAGATATGGTGTTTTATTGTTTTTGTCGTTGTTTGTCTGGTGCTTTAGTTGGTCAAAAGTTGGACAACCGTGGTTTGTTTGGTCCTTTACCGATCAAAGGTGGAACAACCGTGGTTTTGAACTGTATTGTTACAATATTTATCCATTAACTAGTTGTTCTGGTAATATATTAGTGAGATTATATGTGAAATGATTAAATTTGTTTTTGTTGAAGTTAACCCTACATTTCATGTGTCCTCTGAAAAATATCACGTAATGTTATTGATATTATAACAGTTAGTTTCTTGAATAATATGTCAGCTTCAACACACGTTTAGTTGAAAGTTCTATGTGGACCACAACGTTAGATACATACTGAGCTATAAAACTTAGTCACAGGGAGTGATTTAGCAGTAACGGTTATATTGTGTTTTGGTTTCGTTTCAGAAACCGGTGGATTGTGTTCCCGTACCATTGTTTTATTCGTTTGGTTGTGTCGGCGGTGTTATCGCAGCCATTATTCACCGGAAACTGGCGGTGTTTCCTTCGCCTTTTTTCGATCCTCTGGCGACGTTGAAAGCTATCGAAAAAGAAAGGTAAAGTCCATAAATAAAGTATCTTTCATTGATCATCTACACAGACTGTTAACAATGAAATATCCTCCATACATGTGATTAGTGACATCTTAATACCTTTAACATACGATACAAAAAAGGCAAATCATCTGTAAATGTTAGCTTATCTTCCTATTAAATTTCTGGTAATGCTAGAAATGCCCATTCTTAGTCAAACTGTCTTAAAATGTTTTCAATCTGTGTTTCTTTTTTAGGCTGGCTATCTAGCCTTAATATATATTATTATCAAGATGGAGACTTTGGGTTGTTATCTTTAAGTGTTGTTCAGTTTTGTAATCTCTGTTGTTCTAGTTTAGATCTCTCTCCCTTCTTTTCTCCATTATTCATATTGTTATTAGTATTTGTTGATCCATTGTTTTCAACAATGTTTAACTTTTTAACACATCTTCTCACCCACTTTTTACTAACAATTCTAACTTTCGACTAGGTTTACTATTGCCATGGAAACACAGATTCTATTCACAAATAACGTATATTGACATTTCTGACGTCATGGGAATGCCCACTCAGGTTCATTATCATGACAACTGTTCTTTGACAGAGAATCTTCATCCACTTTCATTACTTTTCTTCACAGAAGTTTCTCTACATGTTTAAATAGAATCACCAACAGAGAAACCCTTTTTTTCATCATCAACAGGGAAACCCTTCTAATCATCACCAACAGGGAAATTCTTTTACCATCATCAACAGGGAAACCGTTCTAATCATCACCAACAGGGAAACTCTTTTTATAATCATCAACAAGGAAACCCTTTTATCATCATCAACAGGGAATCCCTTTTATCATCATCAACAGGGAAATCGTTCTAATCATCAGATTAGAAGGGTTTCCCTGTTGATGATGATTAGAAGGGTTTCCCTGTTGATGATGATAAAAAGGGTTTCCCTGTTGATGATGATAAAAGGGTTTCCCTGTTGATGATGATAAAAGGGTTTCCTTGTTGAATCATCAACAGGAAAACCCTTTTATCATCATCAACAGGGAAACCCTTCTATAATCATCAACAGGAAAACCCTTTTATCATCATCAACAGGGAAACCCTTCTAATCATCATCAACAAGGAAACCCTTTTATCATCATCAACAGGGAATCCCTTTTATCATCATCAACAGGGAAACCCTTTTTATAAGCTGTACTATTTCCTATATAGATCATTTTCCAGACGGTTTTGCTATGATTAGTGTCTGGCGATAAGCCTCAGCAGATATGTCTTTTGCAACATCTCAACCAACAATTGGTCCAGTTATTAATGCTATTTTCAAGTTTTGAACAACTTGACTTTCAAGATCTACATGTGTCGATGTTTCCGTTTATCAACGTTATATTTTAAGATCTGTGTAAGAACTCAGCTAACAAATGTTTCCGTATATAAAAGCTATCTTCAAGTTATTATCCTATTTATAGATGCACTCTTGTTATGGGAACGCCCACCATGTTTATTGACATTGTTAATCACCCGGATGTTAATAAGTTTGATCTAACCAGTCTCCAAGGTGGTAAGTGAATAATTAGCATTTTCTATTAAATTTTATTTATAATAGACACGAGATGGCACTGGGGTGTAGCTTTTGATTTTGGAACTGACGGGCAAGAATCTTATGTGGCCCTACCACAAAATATTCCCTCATTTTGAATTGTAGGTGTGTGATTGAAGTGACAATTAATCACTAAGTATGAATGTTTAACTGTTCAGTAGTTTCAAATTAAAGACGGCAACAGATATATTTATTAGTTTTACCATGAATAGAAATTAATTTTTAATTTTATAATTAATTTCTTCATTGAAAAAAGTCACAATTCTCGTACATTTGTTTTAAACAATTCTTAACTTTGATACTTCCAAACAACCATTCTCCTTATTTCATTGTAACAGTTCTAGACCTGTTTCGACGAAGTCTCCAAGTTTTAATATCCCTGGAAAACACTTAATACTCGAACTGTATGTTAACATTGTCTTGTAATTACTCAGAGATTATCAATTACTTGTAACAACTGTATTATTTTTAGCACTTACTTCAGCGTCCCCATGTTCAGCAGAGCTGTGGAAGGAGGTAGAACAGAAGTTGGGCGTAACAAACATCATTGTAAGTTTTTAAACTCTTCATAGAAAATGTTTTAACACTTTTGTCACTAATGAAACAGTTTTATAAAAGGTTTAATTAAGCTATACTTAGAATGTTAAAATAAAGTAGTAATTATTGAACTCTGATAAATCACTTACTATGAATTTTTAAACAGTATTCTATATTAAAACTGTAAAACGACAATAGTTATTGTTAGTCATCGTTAAGGAGAGAGGATTTTATAAACAGAATTTCATTTTCACATAAACAATGTTATAAAGTAAAAATTAAAACTGAAACACAAAACAAAACCAAATAATATAAAGTTATTCTTCTTTCTTTCTGCTGTATGATTACACTACCTCCATTTTTATGATGTATGTCGCTGGACGTAAAACTCACGATTTAATAACTTGGAAGCATCATAATATTGTAAGGGAATATGAAAATGTAACAATATAAAATAATACTAGATGTTGAAAGTAAGGTAATGGTAAAGAATATGAAACAATAAAGAAACAATGTTGAAAGAAGATAACAAACACTTGGTAGTCATGAAACAATATAAAACAATGTTGGAATAAGATAACAAACACTTGGTAGCCATGAAAAAATATAAAACAATGTTGAAAGAAGATAGTAAACACTTGGTAGTCATGAAACAATATATAAAACTGTTGAAATGCGATAACAAACACTTGGTAGTAATGAAACAATATAAAACAATGTTGAAAGACGATAACAAACACTTGGTAGTCATGAAAAAATATATAACAATGTTGAAAGAAGATAACAAACACTTGGTAGTCATGAAACAATATATATAACAATGTTGACAGAAGATAAACTCGTAGTAAAGAATATGTATTAATATAGAACTATACATTGCTAACAAACAAAGTGGAATAAGTAGTATAGCGTGCGTTTAGATTTTTCGGTCGTTATCACATTATTTCTTGTTAACAAGATAAACAACTAATACAAAAATGCCAATCGTCGTGAAAGTAAAGATAAATATCATTCTGTTTTTTTTAACAATCGACGACATTTTGTTAATATTTTATATGCTAATTATGGTTGTTAACTTTATTGAAATTTTTGTTAATATTTTACATGCTAATTCTGGTTGTTAACTTTATTGAAATATTTTACATGCTAATACTGGTTGATAACTTCATTGAAATATTTTGTTAATATTTTACATGCTAATTCTGGTTGTTAACTTTATTGAAATATTTTACATGCTAATACTGGTTGATAACTTCATTGAAATATTTTGTTAATATTTTACATGCTAATTCTGGTTGTTAACGTTATTATAAATTTTTTAAAATATTTTACATGCTAATTCTGGTTGTTAACTTTATTATAATATTTTGTTAATATTTTACATGCCAGTTATGGTTGTTAACTTTATTATAAAATTTTGTTAATACTTTATATGCTTATTTTACACATTAAGCTATTTCTTGGTGTACGTCATTCAAGTTAATTATTGGAGCTGTATTGTAAACATCAGTCTTAAATAATAACCTTAACATAAATCAACAGATATATTTTTTGTAGAGATAATGAACAAGTTTAAACACTGACGATCTTTCTAGATTCTCATCCCTCACAGAATCTATGTACGTAAACTTTCTGACATGAACCCCAAGCAGCCGGAGTACGTGGTTCTTGAGAAGATTAGGGCTTCACTTAGTGTTAACTTGTAACTGGAAGATGTGTGTTATCAACAAACGGCCATACTAGAAGAAGAAAGTAGTAATCATTTTGTTTTTACTTTCAATTTGAACGATTTCTAGGAAAATATTGTCAGAGAAATTACCAGTATCTTTTATTCTCCACAGAATGCCTATGGATCAACAGAAACTAGTCCGATAAGCTGTTCAACAGGTCCAGGAGAAAGACCAGACAAGAAATACCATACAATTGGAACCCCAGCTGACCATGTTGAGGTAACTGTACACTATTACTACACATGCTAAGGCCGTAATCAATGTGTTATATACTTTGATCATGTCAAGGTGTACCATAAACTAAACATGCTAAGGTTCTAATCAGTGTGTTATGTACTTTGATCATGTCAAGGTGTACCATAAACTAAACATGCTAAGGCTGTAATCAATGTGTTATATCTTTGATCATGTCAAGGTGTACCATAACCTGAAACGTGTTTAGTTTATGTGTTGATGCTATACGTGTCATGGTTTGTTTTGTTTTTTTCTTTCATATCTATACCTTTATCCTCAGGTGAAAATAGTGGACAAGGATGGACGAATAGTTCCGGTCAACAAAGAAGGAGAACTGTACATACGTGATAGTCTAACGTCCTTGGGATACTGGGGTGATAAGGACAAAACTAAGGAAGTCCTGAATGATGCACGTTGGTATCACACTGGGTAGGACATAACTACAATTAGTCCACTTGATGTCCACTCGGATACTACAACTTTCTTCTTGTAACCTATTGTGTTTGTAACTGTTTTTACCAGCTAGGAACTGTTGTTTTTACTGACGAGACACTAGTGTTAATACCAGCTAGGAACTGTTGTTTTTACTGACCAGACACTAGTGTTATTACCATCTAGGAACTGTTGTTTTTACTGACGAGACACTAGTGTTAATACCAGCTAGGAACTGTTGTTTTTACTGATCAGACACTACTGTTATTACTGACTAGGAACTGTTCCTGTTACTGACCAGACACTACTGTTATTAATGGCTAGGAACTGTTCCTGTTACTGACCAGACACTACTGTTATTAATGGCTAGGAACTGTTGTTGTTACTGATCAGACACTACTGTTTATACCGGTTAGGAACTGTTGTTGTTACTGACCAGACACTACTGTTATTACTGGCTAGGAACTGTTCCTGTTACTGACCAGACACTACTGTTATTAATGGCTAGGAACTGTTCCTGTTACTGATCAGACACTACTGTTATTACTGGTTAGGAACTGTTCCTGTTACTGATCAAATACTACTGTTATTACTGGCTAGGAACTGTTGTTGTTACTGACCAGACACTACTGTTATTACTGGCTAGGAACTGTTCCTGTTACTGATCAGACACTACTGTTATTACTAGCTAGGAACAGTTCCTGTTACTGACCAGATAAATCGTTAACATACAAATTAACGGAGTAATTGAATTGCAGACAAATTGACGCAATAACACTTACTATCTAACTCTCTAAGTGACACTGAACTGACTCTGTACTCTTATTTTGATGTAATACTTGAAGCTTCTAGGTTATGACGTATTGACAACTTCCTCTAGAAATGAAACATATAAATTAAAACATAGCTTACAACAATATTAATAATTCGACGTTTACAATATATATCTCGAAGATATTGTCGTGATAGACGAAGGTGTTAATTTGTTATATGAGAGACAACCAACCGTAATGTTTCTGTATATTAATAATCCAATGTTTACAATACGACACAGGGATATTGCTGTAATGGATGAAGATGGCTACGTCAGTATTGTTGGTACAATTAAAGATATGATCAACAGAGGAGGAGAAAGCATCTATCCTCAGGAGGTGGAAGAGTTCCTCCATAGTCATCCAGATGTCGCTGAAGCTCAGGTGTGTTTTCTCAGAAGAGCTCGTTCTCTTGAAATTTTATTTTTTGTCATTTAATATTATGACCTTAAACTTTTAATGTCGTCGAAGCAATGAAACCAGTAAACCTAATAATAGTCATAAAGATTAAACTTGTCAACATTGTTCATTATACATTCCAGATTTGAAAATCGAGTCATACAAAAATATATTCTAAATATATTTTTGTCTTTCACACGTCAGTGCCCTAGAGGATTTTTTATATAATGTGACAGTATTGTCATTGATATTGTATTTGATGATATTGATAACGTTTCGGATATGTGTTACGAGAACTATATAATTAAAGGTATCGTGTTGAATTGTGGAGTAAGTTCAAGTGTTATCATTTTTGTCAAACATGAGATATTGATTTGTCACTTATAGGATATGTCTAAATGTTACATGTACCATGTTGTTAAACGTAGCATGTAGATCTGATAGGATACGTAATATTTATATTGAGAAATGTTTTATTGTAGGTTGTTGGAGTTCCAGACCCACGATTGGGAGAAAAAGTTTGTGCTTGGGTGAAACTAAAATGTGGATCCACTTTAACAGAAACGGAACTTCGGGATTATTGCAAGGAAAATGTTAGTATTGTGTTAATATAACACCAGTTGAGTACAGTGTTAATATGATATCAGATGAGTACGGATTTTATAATCACTTCAGCTGAGTTGGTGTTAATATGACATCAGTTGAGTAAAGTGTTAATATGACATTGGAGGAGTACGGTGTTATTATCAGATTAATTGACTACGATGTTAATATGACATCAGCTTACTACAGTGTAAGTATGACATAAAGTGAGTACGGTGTTAGTATAACATCAACTGAGTACGCTGCTAATACCACACCAGCTGACTACAGTGTTAATATCACATCAACTGAATATGAACAGAGAATAACACATAGCATTATACGATCAGTTACTAAGTGTTCAGTTACTAAGTGTTCGTTGGGTGGGGTACAGCGAATGAGATTTTACTGGTCTAAAAATGGATTACATTGTGGTTACTAACGTTCCTGGTTTCGGTGTGGTTTGTATGGTGCTTGTAATAATCCCAGGTTGTGATGGACAAGGTAGTCCTAGTATGACACTGATAAGAAGGGTATGATACTTCTACACCATACATACATCAATAACAGTTAGCTGTCACCTCGACAGTGTTACCCAGCCACTACAACACACTAGGAGAAGATGAACTTTTAGTTAATAAGTTTTCCTTTATTAGGCTGGTGATGACAACGTTTCACTAACACACATCAACAACAGTTATTTGTCACATCGACAGTGTTACTCAGCCACTACAACACACTAGGAGAAGATGACCTTTTAGTTAATAAGTTTCATTTATTAGGCTGGTGATGACAACGTTTCACTAACACACATCAACAACAGTTAGCTGTCACCTCGACAGTGTTACTCAACCAATACAACACACTAGGAGAAGATGACCTTTTAGTTAACAAGTTTTCCTTTATTAGACTGGTGATGACAACGTTTCACTAACACACATCAACAACAGTTAGTTGTCACCTCGACAGTGTTACTCAACCAATACAACACACTAGGAGAAGATGAACTTTTAGTTAACAAGTTTTCCTTTATTAGACTGATGATGACAACGTTTCACTAACACACATCAATAACAGTTATTTGTCACCTCGACAGTGTTACTCAACCAATACAACACACTAGGAGAAGATGAACTTTTAGTTAACAAGTTTTCCTTTATTAGACTGGTGATGACAACGTTTTAAACAAGCTTGATGATGAGATTGTTTAATACAGACATTGGAATGGAACACTAGACCTATCACGACAGTTTAAACCGGTACTGATACGGAACGTTACTCGTATATGGTGGCAGTTTGAAACAGGTACTGAAAGATACGGAACGTTAGACCCGTATCACGATACTTTGAAATCGGTACAGATACGGAAGGCTAAACTTATAATCTTTTTTAAAATGGTCTTTTCATATATCCATAATTCTGAGCTGCAGTGGACAAATTAAGAAAAGTGTCGTGAAGAGACATATCTTGTTAATTTCATTTTGATAGCATTTTTAGGCCTATTGTATGCATAATATAGTTTTTGGATTTCATTAATTTTTACTATTGCAGTGGATATTAGTAAACATGTTTTTGATGAAAAAATGTTTGTCAGTCAATTGTTCGGACAACAAAAACGTTTCTTCTTTGATTCATACTGTCTAGTCATGAACTTTTTCTTGTTTGTTTTCTACTGATTCGTCATGAACTTTTATTGTTTGATTTCTATTGTTTCTTCATGAACTCTTCTTGTTTGTTTTCTACTGATTCGACATGAACTGTTCCTGTTTGATTTCTATTGTTTCATTATGGATTTTTGTTTGATTTATATTGTTTCTTCATGAACTGTTCCTGTTTGATTTCTATTGTTTCATTATGAACTTTTATTGTTTGATTTCTATTGTTTCGTTATGAATTTTTGTTTGATTTCTATTGTTTCATTATGAACTTTTATTGTTTGATTTCTACTGATTCGTCATGAACTTTTATTGTTTGATATCTGTTGTTTCGTCATGAACTTTTCTTGTTTGATATCTATTGTTTCGTCATAAACTTTTCTTGTTTGAAAGACTTGTTTATTTTTTATACGTGTACAATAGAAACAATATAGATACAATGTTATGATTAACTTTACAAAGGCTTATAGCATGAGAAGTTTTGATGATAATACACTTCAAATCAGATCACTTCATATTCTTAAGTCTTTCTATCATTGCTTCTTTTATTTTAAACTTCACGATCTTTCCTGTCGACGTTTTTGGAAAGTCTTCAACAAACACGATGTACCGAGGAATCTTAAAGTTGCTGATCTGGAACCAGAAGAAATTCATTATTTAATAGGCATATTTGTAGGGTCATTAAAAATAAAGGAAAATATCATGACAAAACAATAGATATCAAACAATAAAAGTTCATGACGAAACAATAGATATCAAACAATAAAAGTTCATGATGAAACAATAGAAATCAAACAAGAAAAGTTCATGACGAAACAATAGATATCAAACAAGAAAAGTTCATGACGAAACAATAGATATCAAACAATAAAAGTTCATGACGAAACAATAGATATCAAACAATAAAAGTTCATGACGAAACAATAGAAAACTGAAAGAAACACGTTGAGTCATTTCTCATGCAAAAATTCAGTATTTTCTGTTATTTTTCTTTAATTCTGTTAAAAAGTTAATCAGAAATACAATATTAACAGAGAAAACAGGAGTCAAAACATATACACGTTCATTGATGTATCACATTGGAAACTGTAAAAACTGTCATAAAGATCACTTCGAGAGAAGAATAGAGGGCGAGAAGACGTACCTAGCACCAAGTAAACAGAATCCATTGTATATATTAATATTAGTCTTAGCTAATGAAAACAATATGGCAATCATTTCTATGGTGAAATATTGAGTATCACTGTGAGGTGTATTTTTTAATTATTTTTATTTTGTATAGCTTATGTCCGTTTAATGTTTCTCTTACTTTTTTCAATTCAATTTAGTTTTGGACTTTTCAACCTAACAAACAAACAGTATATCCTATTTCTGTTTTTAACAATATATTAATGAATTCATTTCCGCATTCAGTGTTAACTATTCTTGATAGATTTAAACCTAAACAATACGTGTTCCACTCCATTCTTAACGTATTTCAACCTAAACAACAAACCAGTATTTTACATCATCCTTAACGTATTTCAACCTAAACAACAGACCAGTATTTTACATCATCCTTAACGTATTTCAACCTAAACAACAGACCAGTATTTTACACAATTCTTACTGTATTTCAACCTAAACAACAAACCAGTATTTTACATCATCCTTAACATATTTCAACCTAAACAACAGACCAGTATTTTACACAATTCTTACTGTATTTCAACCTAAACAACAAGCACTCCATTCTTGATGTGTCAAGATAATTCAGACTGGCTTAGCAAGTTTTATATCTCGTTCTTAAATGTTGAGATTAGAAACTAAACTACAGTAGTGTCTGGATAACCGACTTTTGAACTTCGGTATCATGTTTTATTTCACTCTGACCCTGATTAGTTAGTTATATCGTGTTTGTTTGCTTCTCTCAAAGCTACTATGGCTATCAGGCAACGCCCCTAATTTTAAATTGATTATTTAGTTATATCGTGTTTGTTTGCTTCTCTCAAAGCTACTATGGCTATCAGGCAACGCCCCTAATTTTAAATTGATTATTTAGTTATATCGTGTTTGTTTGCTT